CCCCCCCACCCCCCCACACACACACACACACACACACACACACACACACACACACACACACACACACAGATGAGCGTGATCTCACATGATCTCTGATGGATCTGCTCCAGATGAACATGACTCTCACCACTCATGCGGTTCATGTTGCTGCATCCTGGCCCGTCCATCCCTGAGAAACAACCAAACCTGCGTCAACTCATCAATCCCAGCAAGAGTTCGATACACTCAAGATTCACAGCGATCTTACTGGTGATAAATGCACATGAGCACACATCATGGTTTTAAGCTCTTTTTATTTGATCATTAAAAATCACATCATTACGTTTCATGATCTTCATCAGCATTCAGAGACTTTCTAATAGCATCAAATGTAAACATCTGATTAAAGCTGAAGTAGCAGAAATGCTGCTACAGTCAATTTGATTCATTCGAGTTGATGAATCGAGCAGACTACCATTATTTACTGAATCAATTTGAAATTTAAATATATCAATTAAAAACACTTGTTATAAAACAGATAGTTCCGGTGCTTGATTCTGATTGGCTGAGCCGCGTTTGAAGCTGTTGTAAATTACTCTACAAAGTAACATACTCCTTTGTTTACGTTTGTGTGTTGCTCAGCAACCACTTTGTTGGAACCACAACTGTTTCTGAGGAACTACATTTGCTGCATCCCAATTCGCCTACTTATACTGTGCCCTCAAAGTATGTACTCTTTTTGTGAAGAAAAAGTACATACTTTTGAGTATGTAGAAGAATAGGCAAACTTTGGGACATACTACTTCGTCATAGCTGCTTCTTTAATGGATGCTCTGTTGCTTAGTTACGTGCATTCTGTCTCTGTTTAAACTGCCCTGTCAATCATCTTATCACAGTTAACATCATCCACATTTCGTTTAATTTCATTTCCTACCGTATTGGAGAGAAATGAAGAGGCACGTTGATCTGCTAGTCGCGGGTCTATCATGCCGAGAGCTCTGCTTATGTGTTTGCATGATGCATTTAAAAGTTAATGACCAAACGTATCATTATAAAAGTTCACAGTGTTTCTGCAGATGAAATATAACGTGGATAACATTAGGCTAAATTTATATTTTTCCATCAGGTTAGACATTGATTATTTATCACTCAAATCCGTTTATCTACCTGTACGTTGGTCGCGTATATCTGCCATGTTTGTAGTTTGTTAACACTTTTAATGCATGTTTGTAGTTCTAATGCATCACTACAAAACAAGTGCTTTATTTTGCATGCAAATAAATAATGCTTTATTCATGCAAATATTACACTGCATGCTTTAAAAAAAATAAAGCATGAAATACAATATTTGCATGAATAATTAAAGCAAACATGAACGCACCTCCAGGTCCCATGGAGCCGACGCCTCCTCCACTGAGACGGTTGGCATTTATTGGCTGACCGCCGGGACCCAAACCCATCCCAACACCACCCAGACCTCCTGCAGCACACACCATAAACACACATTTACATACGGCATTATATATATATACACACACTCATCCCAAACAAGCACACAAAGCTCTTACGGGGTAACTGTGGCGGTTTCTCCGCAGGCCTGAAGTCATCTGGAGGAAGTGATTTATCATCCTACAGTATACATGACACAAACACAAGAATGAATGCTGAGCCTCATTAACGCTCAAACTGCATGAGAACAAACGCTGCAGCGGCTCACCATTTTCACATGCATCTGTCTGTCAAACAGCATCTGACCGTTGAACATGGCTGTGAGCGCGAGTGAAGGAAGACATTAAAAAACATACCGTCTACACGGGCAGTACACACTAACTAGTGACACATTAAGAACCAGAAATGAGTGCATATTTAATTACAGAATGCCTCGCATACATAACATTTCAGATCATTCCAAAACAATTGCCTTAAAGGTGACATATCATGAAAATCTGACTTTTCCAGGTTTTCTTAAACTAATATGGTTTAAAACGCATGATTTCGGAGCGATAAACATGATAATCAGAACCAAAACAGATGTTTTTAGCAGGTCCGAGCTGTAATGGCGCAGCTCTATTCTGGAAAAGGGGGCGGGGAGCAGCAGCTCATTTGCATTTAAAGAGACAGGCCTGAAAAACAGTGTGTTTCTGCTTCCATTCAAAATAAGCATTTTCAAAATGATATAATAAATGAACTGTGGGGTATTTTGAGCTGAAACTTCACAGACACATTCTGGGGATGCCAGAGACTTATATTACATATTGTAAAAAGGGGCATAATATGTCTCCTTTAATGTTTTGTGAATAATCAACAGGGTGATCTGTATTAATCAAAATGTTTACTCTTTTCACCTGTAGTGTCTTGCCTTAATTTGACTGAACTTTATTTTTAATCAGTACTTTTCTCTATTAAACCTTTCCCAGTGAAAGTCACGTCAACAAACACACGTAAATAAAAGTAATTCATTTTGACTTTCATCATCTCTAGGTTGAGGTCCAGAGGATACAGATGGCTTGTACGGTCTCCAGCGAATGCTCGAAGGTGACCGTCCCCATCCCTCGACTCTTCCCGTCTTTGTCTTCTTTCACATCAGCCCTCCTCACCGTCCCAGCCATACTGAACACCTCCTTCAGCTTCTTCCAGCCCACCTTAAAGTCCAGCTGCAGCCAAAACACACACATGTGAACAGTGTTGGGGAAAGTTACTTTTAAAAGTAATGCGCTACAGTATTGCGTTACTCCCTAAGAAAGTAACTAATTACGTTACTTAGTTACTTTTTATGGAAAGTTGTTACGTTTGAGTTACGTTTTAAATCTAGGCTTGGCTTGCTTGTTTGTTTTTAATATAAAAAAGTTCTTCTTTTACAAATGTAAAAGCCCTTTCACAACAAAAGTGA